TGGAGGTGGGGGGGGGGGGGTTCAGGGGGGCATGCCCCCCTGAATTTTATCCTAATTTGATGTTTTGCAGTTAGGCTGCATCCCTGCTCTTTGTGTAGCCTAATTCAAATAGTATTTGGTCTTCAAGACTTCTGGATTTCTTCTCTGGATGTAAACAAATGGATCGTGGACTTAAACGAACGGAACTACAAGATCACCGATTCTAGATCTATATCTAGATCTAGATTCTATATCTAGATTCTAGACTCTAGTCTAAATCTAGACTAGATCTAGATCTAGATTCGACGATTGTCAAGATTTCCGCGTTTAATTCCGATGTGCGTTTTTCATAGCCTCAGGTATGTTTCGCTTTGATCCCTAACCCTAACCCTAACCCTGACCCTAACCCTAACCCTAACCCTGACCAGGGTTAGGGTTAGGTTTAGGGACCAAAGCGAAACATACCTGAGGCTATGAAAAACGCACATCGGAATTAAATGCGGAAATCTTGATAATCGCCCTAGATTCTAGACATAGATCTAATCTAGATCTAGATCTATATCTAGATCTAGATCTAGACTATATAATGAAATAGATCTAGATCTAGAATCTAGAAAATCTAGATCTAGAATCTAGTGATTTTCTCCCCGGGCCCTATCCTATATAATACTAGATCTAGATCTATATATAGATACCTAGATCTATATTTCTCTAGAGATATAATCTAGAATCTATCAAGATCTAGATTCTAGATTAGATTCTAGATTCTAGATTCTACTCTATTTAGAATCTAGAATCTATAAAGTTCTCATGTTCAAATGAATTCTGTGCATAATTTCTTAGGCCTACCTTCTTCGTCCAGTAAAGTAGGCAGGCTAGTTAGGGTAAATAAGACTGGATCTATTCACTCCACAACAAAACATTGTCATTCCAGTCCGTGTTGTTGTGACAGTTTCATTCCTTCTGCTGACTTGAAGACTTCCGAGTTTTCCTTCGAATGGATAAGCGTCCTTTGACCTTTGACATCACAACCTTTAACCTATGGGGTAGTCATGCCTGGTCATGCTTAGTGAATTAAAAATTTCGCATTCTTTGTGCTTCGTCATCTCAATTTGTAGTCGAAGACACTAGGGTTGGTTTGAAGTTGAAGAATGTGATAGCACTGATAGGCTACGAGCTGGCCGCTGACTTTGCAAATGAATACAAACAAAGCAACTGAAGTTGAAGTCCCCACCCGAAAAGCTCATTAGCCCCACACTATAGCTTGTTCACTTTCGTCTGTCTGCGTTTAAAAAAAAGTTTAGCTCGTGCAAGCCAGCGACCAATCATCCTTTTAAAAAATCTTAATCTAGATCTAGATCTAGATCTAGTAATGATTAAAAGAGTTTCTCCTTTTGGGCCCTGCATTAAAAACAGCTCTTTGGATGCACATAGATCTACATGATCACTAAAAATAACTTACTTCTCCTTCAAATTGCTCATTTTTAGACAGCGACACGTGCGGTACCATCCAAGACTGAGGAATGCCAGTCTTGTGTAGCCTACCACCTTGCCCCACATTTCAGAATAAGTTTTATAATAATTATGTTGATTGCATCCCACGCCTATAGACGTCTCCACGTGAGTCTCGAAGCGTAGGCCTACCCACTACCAAGGAGTTTATTACTTTTTATCTCCTTGAGGCCTACTCGGTTCTCACCCAGACTCTCGAGTCATGTTTCTTTGGGGTATATTAAAGTGTGATTTTGAGAAAAATTAGTCAAATTTTCAATTCATTGAGTTCCAATCACAGACACA